GTTCGTGCCTGTGTAGGTGAATGATTGCAGCACATCACTTCTGGAGAGGTTTCTCTCCCTCGAGATGTTAAACTTGTCGTAATTAAAATTTCGGAGAAGGCTGGGAAGGTATTTCTCCTTGTCGTCAACATCGTTTAGAAACTCCGTGCAATCTGGTAGCACACGGTCGTAAAAGAACAGCGTTCCCATTCGCTTATATCCGTCCAGCTCTCGCAGTACAGTCGGGTCCTTGACGATAATATCATCTACGTCCATCAGTATCACATGGCGTACGTCCGTGTGGTACATTGCCAGCGGTTTAATCCACCAGTTTTTGGATTCATTGGCCATTTCTTGGGTAATAACTTGTTTCTCCACTAAATCCGAGCACACGTCGACCAGTTCGATACGGTTGTCCGATGAGAACAGAATAGCTTTCGACTTGGTGGACAATTCGTCCTGGCCGCAGTGATACACCTGGACCAGCTCCTCGTTACCCAGACACCTTAGCTCCCGAATGAGCGATAGCCCCATGGCCAGCACCTCGTCGTTCATGCAGATCATGATGGCGCGATCGCGCCTAATGCTGCGGTCGAACCGCTCGCCTCGCTGGTAGTAGCGTGAGTGAGGGTGGGCGGTCGCAGTGTTTTCCAAATCGCTGTTCGTACGGTTTTCACCGCTGTTGAGATAGTTCTTGGTTGTATCTGACATTGTGGACTCGAAGTTGGAGAAGGTGCTGCTGTTGTAACTGCTAAGATATCGAGTCGCCAGAAAGCCTCCGGTCACACTGGCGACTATGAACATTGGTAGGACAAGCAGCAGGCTGCGTGGCGGCGTCTTGGCAGATCTACTCCCATTAAGCGGCTGAACAGCCGTAATTCCATCTTCCACGTTGTCATCGGCGTGTTCGGCCTCGCTGAACATGCTGGAATATCAGAATGATCGGGCCTCAGTAGAGGTGCTCTGTTTAAGAGAAATTCTCGTAATCCAGTACGAGTGATAGTAAACTGGATTAAGAAATTTGGCATTCTGATGTCGTTAAAAAAGATGTAAAAGTTGGACAAAATAAACCTAAAATTCGCAAAACGTGACTGGTAAAAATTGTCGCGTAATGAGCCTACAACAGGACAGTAATCGTAATTGGGAGCAGCACACTAGCTAAAATAGTACTGAATTTTGGAAATACCTTTTCACTGCGAGACATGTTGCTCCGTATAACTCCAGTAGGTTCTCATTTTTGCTAACAGTTAATTTGTAGAGTATTGATGAGCATCGCTCAGTTTGTTTAGCGCTGAATAGTAAATTTGCTGTTTAGATCCATTTTTAAATAGTGAAATATGAGTCAATTCGAATCTACTACAAAGTGCTTCGATACAATTAGTCTCTCTATACGAGCGAGCCCTGACCAACCATATCTACAGCAACCTCGTAATCCAGCACATCGTAATCAGCCGCGTGAATTATGCTTCCTCGTAATCTCGTCCGCGGAATCCCTTGTCACCGTAAACAAACTCTACCAGTACTATCCGATAGTCTATCGAGATTATATGGTAGTGCCAAACTGGTCAACAGCACGGAGAAGCCCAGTGCGGTTCGCGCGCTGTAGCAAATATAATAGGATTTATGCATGTTTCTACAGTGTAACAGATATAAGAGCTGCTGGGAACTAACAAAATTAATTTGCGGATGAAATTAAGTGTCACAGTACACTTATTCGTTTTTAAACTAAAATCCTAGAAAGTGCACAAAAAGGTGTGACAAAGGCACGCTGTTTGTGAGTCGCGCGGCGAGATCGACCGGTTTACACTCTAAATTTTATGTAAGGGATAAACGGTTTACTGTACTTACAAAGTTGCACTGCAACTTATGTGCTGCAAGTCTCATGTAAGGTCAATAGGTATTAATACGTACAGTTCCAGTTAAGGATGAAATTGTAGTACAGTCGTGCACCTCCAATTCGGCAGGGCGGACCATATCAACAGTGCCAGGGCATAAGTGCACAGCGTAAAGCAAAAAAACAAACGCAAATCCAGTGCACTGATATTTTATTTGTTAATTCAGTACAAAATTTACGCCAATCTTCTGCATAATCTTGGCGTCCGGCAAGGCGGCAACTTCCGCGGACCGCTTAAGAATACTCTGGACGGTAGTGCGCTTTACTGCTTGGGGGGTCTTAAAGCGCTCCGTTGCCCAACGAGCAAGTTCGGAGTGAGAGCATGCAGGATTTGACTTGTGCTTCACTGCTTTTGTGGGACATGTAGGAGGAGGGGCACTTTTGCTGTAGTCGCCACTCGACGCTAATCCTCGGGACACCGACCATCAGACGGGCCGTCTGAGACGGTATCCCATCTTGTAAGGCTAGGATTTGTTTCGTGATTAACCTTAGTCAATTAAAACTACAGTAGCTAACCTCCCTCGCTACTCGACCTTGCTGTTGGTGTAAGTCTCGTTCAGGAACCGCCAAGATTATTGAGAGGGGGCACTGTTCTCTGCTAGGCTCAAGGAAAATGGTATACTAAAGGTGTAAAGGGCCTGGACCATCTCCTCGTATGGACGAACAGCACAGCTGGATACGAGACAGGAAAATTAGTCGCATGTGGCAGTCGAACACACTGTGTTACACAGTGGTCATCTTCGTGTCCATCTGCAGCCGACTGTAGACGGCAAGTGATCCAACGAACTTTCTACTGCTCTGCATCTGGCATCCAGGA